TTTATAAAGGAAGAGTTTGAAAACATTGTGATGTAAGAACCTATGTTACATTAGTCTTTCATTAACTAATCCTAAGCTGGAGTCCTGAATGTTGCAGTTGCATTAAACACTGTTGATGATGATGATTTTTGTACCAAAATAAAGAGGAAACAGCATTATGAGTTCAGTATCCCTTTGCCATCCTTTCTGCACCGCAGACACAAGAGGACCCATCCATATGAACCCAGGGAAGAACCAAAACAGTTGCATGTAATTATGATCACAAGTGGTTTTGCTTGGTGTTTTTTTTTTTTTTTTTTTTGTGACAAAGTAACATTTTTATAACAGTTTATAGAGTTTGCATGTTCCCCTTGTTCCTACTAAACTAATATATTTCGGTATGTGTTCCCATTTATATTAGAGTTTAAGTACTATAATAATTTTATATATATATAGCACCTTTCAAAACAATGTTACTGTCAGGGACCAAGCAGTAAAGCATAAAGGACACAGGTGTTTTAATTCAAAAAGGGGGTTTTATTGACCCAAAAACATGAAGATATATTTAACAAAGCCAAAACTTAAACAGGCAGACCAATAAAAGAGGTCAACTCAATAGACTAAACTCAAGATAATAATTAACAAAACCTCAAACAAACATAAGATAAACTAACCTGCTGGTTTAGCTAAACCAAATGAAACACACGGGGGGGAAACAAACTGGCTGCCATATAACCAACTAATACAAAACAATTAAACAAACATGAAACCCCACCCCCACCCCCCAGGCAATGAAGCATGTGGTTCTATCCAATTAGGCTGTCAGTGATACTTCAGCTATCCTAGCCCTTTGCCACACCTTTTGCCAGACAGGAGGAGAAGCCAGACCCCAGGTAAGTCAAACAAAGAAAGGTGCATTAATATAACATAAAACAGAACTTTGACCTTGCAAGGTTAATATGTGTGCACGCCATATAAACATTGGAAGGCGTGATCGAAAAATACATACATTTAATAAAGAAACAATATTGAACAATAAGTAGAATATATTAAAGTAGTGACTGTAAATTAAACTAAAGTGAATCAACGGGTGGTGAGGTGTGGAGCTTACCATGTGTGGCATGCCATCACAGTTACAAAGTACTTCACAGGATAACGCAACAATAAAGAATTAAAATTAGAAAAATTGGTCAATAATCATAACTCAAATTAAACGATTATTAATATCAATTATAGACAATTTTTTGTTTTACAATACAGAAACCCCATCAGCTGGACTGATGCCAACTTCGATAGAGATCTGCATTCCTCTCATGTATGACAAATTTTACACCTCTCACTAGTTTCACACAGCTGCTATTGGTTTGCCGCTTCCTGCTCTTCCTACAAGGTTGTCTTGTGAATTTATTACACACCTGGAGCATCAAACAGCAGCATGCAGTAGATCTCTATCACAGCAGTGCTCTATCTAAGCACATTTCAATGCTCAGCTAGAGTAGAAACGTGCTATATAAGACCCAGTCCATTTACCATTCACCACACAGGCACAGTAAACTGGACTGGACTTGAGATATTTATAAATAAAACCAATGTAACTCCTGCATTTAGGCTCACCAGTTCATTTTGCTTAAATTTTAAAATGTCAACCACCCCAAAAGGATACAAGACACCTCCACGATTGTAAAGTCCATTAGGTTGGTCAGTTTTTCCTCAGTAGGTTGTCTGTTGTGAACAGTGGTGAAGAATTATCATAATTACCTAATGTTTTTTCCATCTTCATCTGCGATTAAGAGTAATAGACTGTATAGACTTATTACATTCTCTTACTGTAGGTGTCACAGTATAATACTGTTCAAATGAAAGAAACTGATTTAAGTATAATACACAGCATGTCTCCTCCTTTTCTAAAGTGACTGTTTTTGTGTATATGGACCTGTTTTTTTGGAGTTTTTACACAATACTTGTGAAAGTTGGAAATGGAACCACAAATGGTTTCCAGACAACTTGTGACTCAATCAAAATCACCCTTTCTCATTTACATTAACCACTAATATGAATAATGAGTACTACAAGTACAAGTTTTCTGATGCTGATACTGTAGATTTTTTTCTAATCCTTGCTTTTACATCTTTTACTGTATACCTGGATACTTTGAGGTAAAGTCATAATAGTTAATTAAACTGAAGTAAGAAGTAAAATTATGTGTGAAAAAGTATTTTATTGAACTGGAAAGTTTTGAAGTTTTCACAACATACTTGTGTCAGTTTGATTTGAGACCACAAGTGGTTTCCAAATAACTCATGACTCAATCACATGTCACACAAATCGTGACCAGACGGACAAGTGCCAAACTCAGGCACAGATCATCTGTGAAAAAACAGACTTTTAGTGCACAAAAAAATTAAAAAACAAAAATGTGTGGCTACATTGTATCACTACTGGGATTAATACAATGAGTGAAATTACACATTAGGAGGTCCCAGTTGATCAAATAGCACCTTACAAACTATAAGACTATACAACCTGATTCATTAAATGTGACTAGTTTTATTAAATGGAGTAACTGTTGAATGCAGCCATTCAAAAGTATGTTAATTATTGTAAAATGATACTATAATACATTTCCCAGAGCTGAGAAATGGAAAGCTGAGACTAAAATCATAGTGTTTACTCCACTGAAATAAATGGCATGGTGTGTGTGTGTGTGTGTGTGTGTGTGTGTG